CATGTCTGATAAAAAATGCATAGATAGGAAAGTAAATCAGTTTTTTTTGTAAGAGCAACAAAGTTTATCAGTTCAATTTTTTTAATATGTTTTACTAATATAAAAATCGTCATATTATTTTAAACGATTTTGCGTGCTTTAAATCACTTACACGCACTACGACTTAATTAAAATCTGTTTTGTAGCCCACTAATGTTTTGTAAGTTTTTATTAACGTTTCTTCATTACAACACTAAATTACTAATTTAGTCTCTAAATGTCGCTGGTCTTCATACATAAAGGGTAATGATTCGGGTTTCGATAATTTATGCAAATTTCTCCTCAAAAGCTCCTACGAATGCAAACATATTGTTAAAAATTTAGGGCAGCTTGAGGTGCTCCCCTGAAGGTTGTCTGGAGAAACGAACGTTTTACGCAAGAAATATCTTAAATGTGTTTTCGTATTTGTGTACATTTTTCAGAAAAAGGCGTAGCATAATTGAGCTTTTGACAATAAGACCTTTTAAGAAAATAAAAGTGAACGTTTGAACACCCAGTAGACTGGTAGTGGAGCGTATTTGAACTTTTATAGGCATATTAATTTATGAAATTAAGATAAACATTATCTCACCTCTTAATCCACACAAGCAAGACTATGTTTTCTGACTAAAATCAAGATTTTTCCAATTCTACGCCTCAATCGTTTCTCAGAAATCCGTTTTAATCATATTTGCTAGAATTTACGCAAAATATTTCTATTTACTTAGATAATCATCTGGTTTAGTTGATCAACTTTCATTGCTAAGCAGCTCTACCTCGTAACTACTGCGGCTACTGCATAATAGATTTATTAAAAGCAAATATGCTGGTTATTTTTATTAACACTAAACAGTCGCCATGATTTAAAAAATCATTTTTAACATTAAAATATAATCTATAACAGACGATAAATGATAAATGAGAAAATCGGCTCTATTAGATAAAATATTTTGAGTGCATACCGCCAATATATGCTAAATATAGCAAACGTGTGTGTATTTTACTTTGCAAAATCAATAATACAATTGTTTTATTCTTTATTTGATCTGATATATTGGTACTTGTAATTTATCTGTTTCGTTCATGTTCTTTTTCTATTTTTTTCACCCAAAATTGAATGGCTTATGCATTGTACATTATAAACCAAAAATTGTTTGTTTTAACAAGTGTTTTATGCTCAGGACAAACTATATCCGTTATAATAATATAAATTCAATGTTAACTAAAATCTTATACCAAAAATCACTATGTTATATCTGTTTCAGGTGGTTTACTTTCAGGTTTAAACCAGTTGATGCAATCATATCGCCACACACGCTATTGCAGTTTGGTGTAAGCATTGTTATAAATAGGTTTCGTCTCGGCCTTAACGGAAGAATCGCCTCCCATCCATATTGCTACATGGCTGACCTAATCGTTCACGTTTTCCACAATCCACTGATCGTATAGGGATTTTTTCAATTTATGTTACTTTTAGTTTTTCGCAGGTACAAAACAATAACATGAAATTTGTGTTTATGTATAAAAGGTATCCTATTAGAATTTAGTAACTTGATTTCGTCTAAAGGCTTATAGATCAAGAAGTCAAACATACCAAAAAAAAATAGTTTTAATCTCCTTTGAATCGGCTTCTCCTGGCATTATGGCTCAATATTCAAAACCGATGTATTTACTATAAAAATACTGCTGTCGTCAAATCTGTTTTGTTTTCTGTTTAAGTAACACACAATTAAATATTTAATATTTAAAGGATTTTTTGGAAATCAAATCTATTATATGTTGCTTAGTTGTTTTTACACTACATTTTTATTATTTGTTCATAAGTGCTCATTTGGGCGCCATTGAACTATGCCATCCTAATAACCACCCTATAGTGAGTAGCTTAAGCAGAATGTTCTTAATATCCAAAATGTGTCTAAAGTGGAAAATATATGTATTGTACCGTGGATGGCCGAGTATTTAACTCTTTCTTCTGGTTACAACTTTTATTCCACTCGGTACAACTTTAACTACGGAACAGGAACAAACTAACTTCAAAGTTACCGTCAACTTCACTAACAATAACAATAACACACGGAAAACACGCGTTTCCGGCTCCCGGAGTTTAACTTCTTCTGCACTTGGCCGCTCCTGTCACTTTACTCTCTCGGTCTGGTTCTCGTCGTCGCTTATATCCTTTTCTCCAGGTATTCCAGATAGTTCTAGAAATCTCCAGAACAGGTGCGAAACTTCCCGCTTGTCAGTGTCATATTTGACAGTAAATGGGGCCCAAATGGGGCTCCCATTTACTGAAATACCATGAATTTCGATCCCTCATTCCAAACGTGAGTACCCCAGGCCATTTCCGTTACAGTATGTAGAAAACACTGATGCGTATAAAGCTAGAAAAAATAACAAACATTTCCAATCAATAAAACCCACGTTTTTTGAATGCTGTTTGAACAAATAAACAAATAAAGGGGAAACTGCTATACACTAAAGTTCTAGCTTTCTGTTATCTATTTGACAGGGGAGGACCGTTATCTGTCCTTACCCGGAGAAACATTGATTTTAATAGCATTTAAAATTTTCCTTGCAAATCCCATTGGCTTTGGATTCAATTGAACAAACGTTCATCAAATCATAATAACGCGGAAAATTTTGATAAAGAAAATGCGTTTGAATACGAAAATTATCAGTAGGTACAGAATTTTAAATTTTGCACTTATATGAGAGCCATTAAAACGAAAAGGTTATAATAATACTACACAAATAAAACTGTTACTATTAAGATTATTCGGTTTAGAAAAACCTGAAGAAGCAATGTTTCTGCTCCGCCCAGCTTTTTCGGGAAACATTAGAGTTTCAGCGATAGCAAATCAAGTGCTAGAAAATATAATTATAATTAGTAAATCATCCAACTTTACAAGAAGAAAATATATCACTTGTGTATCTAATGAAAACGAAGTTAATGGAAAATATCCAATAATTTCCTTGTCGTGGTAGGTTGATTGTAATGTTGATTTCTCGCTACTCTATACCGATCCTAAAGTTCATAGTAATTAATAAAGCTGATTGTGTTATATCACTTTGGCTTTATTAGCATTAATTATTATGTTTGAAACGTCAAGAAAACGAATCAGGCATTCAAATCTTCTAGCTTTTCAGAATCTATTGTCTTCAGAAGAAGTGGGAGGCTGAAAATGCAAAATAAAACTTTTGCAGGCTACGAAGACTGAGACAGAGAAATGAGTCTCGTTCGAGTTAACGTTCGAAAATAGTGTTCTGTTATCAATAACTCAAAAGAAACATTTTCGCTTACCTACTTAGCAAAAACTAAAATTGTCATCCAATAAGATTTTCTTGTCTTAACATCCGTTTATGGGGCAAAGAATTTCAATTTTGTCCTAATTTTTTATTCCTTTTGCCTAAATTATTTTCGATGTTTGGCATTTCAAAGATGTTAAAGCGCCTGAGGAATAATGTCTTTCACATTCAAAAAAAACCGCCCAGGCCATAAGGGGAAAGCTAAGTCGAGTAAGGCATGCATCAAAATTATTTCCTTTCCTTTACTTTTCTTGTTTTTAAAATGCTAAATTTAAAAATCTTTAAAAATGCAACCTATCTATGTGTGCCTAATCATATGTATTAATTCGCATATATTTTTTTAAATCTTAATGGTCATCTAGGTGCAAAGTTTTTCACAATAAGAAATCTTTCATAGCACTGTATTGAGCTATTTACCTTTTCTGATCCAAAAAGCCACCAAAGACAAAGGCCGTATCCCGGTATTGGTTTCGTTATACGGCTCAATTTACGTATAAAAGGTTTGGAACATTTAGCACCATTTAGCATCTCCCGAGTTATACATTTTGAAAATTTTGATGCCATTTACGGGTAGAAGTCCTGCACCAATTTCAACATCTGATGATACAGTTTGAAGAATCGTACACATTTCTGCACACATCCATAATATTAATTTTTGGACAAAAATATCACATCAATAAAATTTTGTTGAATTGAAATTAAAACTTGAATGCAATGTGAAAATTGCAGAGATAACTCGAAAGGGTAACTTTAAATAAAAAATTAATGTCGAAAGTTCACAAACGATCAATATTCTATGATTTTTATAGTTCTCGGACATTTTTCTACAGCCTACACCTGCTTCAAACTTTCGTCCGGACTATAATTTCATTCGTTCAAGTTCAAGTTGAAGTTGTGCTATACCTAAAGGCACAAATATCAATAGCATTGACTCCTAACATGTCAATAACATTGCCTGCAACATCATAGTATTAATGTATGTCCAATATATCAACTACATTGTTACGTTGCCTACATGTTTGCGGTTGTAATCAACAAAAATAGCTAATGTAATTTAGTAGTTCAAGCTAAACTGATGGGACTGGCTTGAAATATTGTTATTAACTGCCGGGCAGAATGCAATGTTTTAACAGAAATAGATGTTAATACAAAATCTGATTTACTATTATGATCTTAAACGAAATAGCCCAACGTAAAGTATTTATCGAGCAAATGAACCAAGCCAACAGTGAATGAAATCTCATCAGAATGTATCGATAATGAATATAATTAAAGCTGCAAAAAATGTTTTCGTTTTGTCCTCAAAAAGAAAGTAATTTTTGGGCCCATCCGTGTACCCTCGCCTTTCTTAAATATTTTATTTATTCCACTCACTGAAATACTTGCTAGTACTCAATGGGAAAGATGGCAATCGAAAGGAAATTGAAAGCTGATTTCCAAGTTTTCCATTTTCCTGGCTGACCAGAATTTACATTGCGTTGAGAAAGTGACAAAAATAAACATGGAAGTATTTATAAATTAATTGAAACGTGAATCATATCTAAAACGTCATGAGCGTTATATAGTCATGAACTTACATGTCTTACAGTACCTTCAGTCATGTCTTACAGTATGCAAAAGAAATCAGTTTCTAATGAACGGTCATCGAAAAAAACTATAGCATATGTCCTTCGTTAGGTGGCTCATGAAAGAAAAATTCGAGGCATCGAAAAGATAAATATGTATATATATATTCACATATGTATTTACAAAAAGAAGCAAGAAATTGCGAAATGCCAAAATAGGCATAAGTAGCTATAAATTTTAATATGTGCTAGAGCTTTTGCCAAAGTTTATAAGCATTGTAGTTATTTAATTACATATAAGAAGTAAAAAAAATCGAACTATCATATAGCAGCACCTAGCTAATCTTAGAAATCCAGAACGCATAATGTAAAGAAAGAGCACCTCAAGTAATTCAAATGCGAAGCTAAAAAAAGTGAGGAAACTCCACAGCATATAAAAAAGTACTTCCTTGCCGGTGAGCAGAAACTATAAACTTTTCTGCTTTTTTATGGACTTTAGACGACTTCATTAAATCAAGGGTTTTACTGCCTCAGTCAGCAGCTCCTAAGGGTCTAGTTGTATAATGCAATAATATAATTAATTATAAACGCCGGTAGAAAGTTGTGTAATATTTAATATTTAAAAGTTTGTGATTGTAAAACAAATGCGTTTTGTTTTCCAAAGAATTAATTGAGTGTAATTTAGTAAATAATTTATTATTGCACTACGTTTTTTACAAAGGTCCCACACTACGAACTTTAATTTCAAAAATGTATTTATAAAACAAAATTGCTTTAATACAAGCAGGTGTTTTAACAAATGCCATATTTTCGTTTTAAATTAAACAGCAGGCGTACTTCTGAATTTAATGAAAAACCTAGTCGAATTTAAAGGAAAATATAT